AGGGGCATAAATAAACCCACCGCCCTGCGCCCTCTTGTGGAACTCCAGATGTCTATCTGTCAGACAAAGGCTGTTGGTTATGCAAGCAACACAAAGCATTTAGACATTTCACCAAAAAAGGGAGCTCATTAATTACCACTATACTCCACCTCTTGATTAATTAGTGGATGTGGTGGGCTTAAATGCCATTTAATGTTGGTTATACATCACCCAATGTGAACCTTCTCTCCCTGTTAACAACTAATGAATGGTTTTGCTTGAGAAAATACCCCACAGCCCTTGATGGCAGCGCTCTATACTGACCACAGACACTCCTCCTTCTTCACCTATCCCCCCTAGCTTGCTGTATTGTTATTGTATCTTACTCTCCCTAAATGCAACTTACTTAAAGCATGCATTAACCCAACTTCTTACAGTGGAACTAAAATCCAAAGAGACAAACAATAGAACCCACCTGTTTTTTCCTCTCTTTCTCTGACGTACATCCAGACTGCACGCCCTGTCCTGTGTTTAAAAATACTAACAAGAGAAATGTAATAAAGTAACTAATAATAAGGTTATTATTAGTTATATGAAGGTGGTGACATTTTACCTATAAGCTGTCCCCCCCTCTCTTTGTCTGCCTCAGTGTGTGCTTTCTGGTTGTTCATCTTTGATAGTGTGAGAGATTTAATGCCTTTCTTTCTCTCTTTCTTTGTTTCTTGCTTGCTTCTCGTCTTTTTTTTCTGCATATATGTTAACACTCATATATGCAAAACTATGTTCCTTTTTTTCTGATAATGTGCAATTTTTTAACACTGCTAATTTTCTTAGAAGTGCTAATGTTTTGATTGTTTCTTTCTTTTTGAAAGGGTTAGTTCAGGATTTTTTTAGGTGGGGTTTTGTTCAAATCTTGAGGATTTAATGTCTTTGCTGCAGTAGATGCACGTCTTCCCGTCTTAGCATGAGTCCAGATTAGTTTGTTCTGGAAGTCAAAGCTTGTAGCTATTTCAAGAGGGGCCAAGACAAAAGAGGACTTCTAGTTTCTTACAGCTTCAATCTCAAAGGAAGATCATACTTAACTCTAAAGCAGGTATGCACCAATAGGAAAATCAGGACAAAATGCTATATTAATATTGCTGTCACAGTGACATTTCCTGATACGATGCATAAATATATATATTTCTATGATGAAAAGATAGCAGTCTGGCATTACTTTTCTGATACAGGTAAATATTTAATAGTCCCACCATGCATCAATGTCACAGTCAGATGCCTAAAGAAATAAAGATTGAAACTAGACATTAGTTATCAAAATTGGCCCAATTCCAGTATGTTAAACCATCCACTGACACAGATGTCGGTGCCGATATTGTGCATCCCTTCTTTAAATGTAAAGAAATTAAAATTTAATCTGTAAATTTTAAGATTAAGGAATGTTATAAAATAATGTTATAAACTAAAACTTAATTAGTTACTTCAAATAATGAAAGAGCTTGAATGCCTTTAATTGAGTGGAATAATTGCCTGTTTTAAACCTTATAATCACGTTATCTAACTACTGTCTTAGTGATAACATAGTGTCATGAATACAGAGACACTGTTAGCTTTTCTGTTTCTACAAATACCTCTAAGGAAAGCATAGAGGCATCCATGTTTTCATTGGCTATCCCAAATGAGTCTCTGATTAGCCATCCAGGCATGTCCCTCCATGGAAGGTCATACCTGTGAGAAGATGCAGATTTCCTGGACATAGAACCCATTAAGAAGCTATTTGATGGTTTCTGGAAGCATCTATCAGTCTCCTGTTTCCCCACAACTTAATCAACTGTTCAACAAAAATGGCTCTGTTAAACGTTTTTACTTGCATCATATGCTGTGATAGTCTTTTTTTGTTCAGTTGCGCAAAATTCCCTTCAATCGTCCTGAATATGGGATTGGTGTCACATGGTTAGTGCATTTTAAAACTTTCACTAACATGGCCATATGGAAAGGACTAAAATCTGTCTGTTAGACTTTGACAATATAATAATAAACTTAACTTTATTGTAGGCTATTGTAGGATCTCCTCAAACTCCATGCAACTAACGTCAGCTCAAAATGACGTCCAGTTATGCCTATTTTTTACCAAAATATAACTATTCTGTCCTCTGTGATCTGCTCCTGAAGTTGAATGGTCTCACTGCTAAACAGATATGGCAATAGTATAAATGTAGATAAAAAGGCGTTGCTGCAAACTGCTTTGAGTTTTTTCTTTTTAAATAAAAGTTGTTCAATTTTGGTGTCTGTTCCTCTCGGACTTGCCATGAATTTATCCAAAATACAAATGCCAAAACAAGCATCTACTGTAGGTAAGATATTAACTCCTTACATCATTGAAACAAAAACCTCTCTTTAAAAATCTTGAATTATCCCTTTTATAAGAAAGATGCTTCCTTTTTTCCCTATGAAGTATTTTTCCTATTTTAGAAGGTTTTTATCATTCAATTTCAAATTCTCGTGTTTGATTTTTTAAATTGGTGCCATCATAGAGAAAAAAGAGAAGCCACCTTAAGAGTAGACCCCCACTGCGATTATTGAAAGTTCTTCCAAACTGTTTCTATGCTTATCTTTATCTCACCTGTTTTTGAATAGCTATTTCTAATTTGAAATATTGGATCTAATCAATGAATGTTGAATTTTTTGTGCATGGCAAAGAAGTTGCAGCTTAGGGTTTGTAAAACTGTCAGTGTTGAGAGTGCTGTTCTCTTTTGTAGATGGGCATGTATATGCTCATTGTTTGTATATCCCCATCCCTTCCTTACAGCCAAAAGCTCTAATGCCGCCCGACCGCTTCGTGCCGCCTTTACATGGACATGGCAACTGATGTACACGTTCACCCCCATCTATGTCATTTCCTTCCTAGTATCTTCATAGGTCCCACCCCGTCTCACACTCCTTCCTCCCGAACCCTTAATATAGAGACTCTTAAGATATGTACAGTTCATTTTGTTCATGACTGATGAACAAGTTAATGTTGAGCAAAAAAAAAAGAAGAAAAAGCTACAGAGTCATCTAATCTGGCTGTAGATATTTACAGAGGTTTAATGATAAAAGTAGGAATTATAAATGTACAGTTTTCTTTTTTTATAAAACAACATAACTTAAAAGTAGAAAAAAAAGACCTCCTGAGCAGAATGGCGAAGATTACTTTCATGTCATGTGTGTGGATGTATGTGTTGTTGCCTCCCTATACCATCCTGTCTAAACAGAGAATAATATAACTACATATCCAGAAGATGTTAAAGAGAATCTAACCTGTCCAAAGGCATTCTTACACAACTTTTTTTTGTAAATTTTGTTTTCTTCCTGCCAAAATCATGCGGGCAATTTGTTGATGTAAGTTGAAAAAAGCTGATGGTATGCTTTCTTCCTTTTTCTGTAGGCTTTTATGATTTTACAAGCTGACTTTGGTTTTCTTTACCTGTTTTTCTTACCTACTACTAATCCTTTTTCTGAATAGCTCTATCTGTGGCTTTACTTTGTGAATGTTTATTTTTATATTTTTCTTTTTTTTTTTACAATCTTTGCTTTAATTCCGACGTCTCTTTGCAATGCTTTAATTACTCTCATATTATTTCATTGTTTCTCTTTCGTTTCCTTTTTTGTTTTTCTTTATTGTTCCAAAAGGTTTGCATCTCTTTATAGTGCCGTTTGTGAGCCCTTGCAATGTACAAACAAGCCACTTTGGCAAAAAGGAAACGCAGCTTCAACTGACATCTGAATGTTTCAGACTCTTTGTAGATGTGCTTTTGAGTAAATGGATTTATTAGAAACAGACAATTAAGGGAAATAAATTCCATGCTTTGCTTTAGATGCAAAAAAAAGGGAGTAAAAGCTGTTCCAGCAAGATTAAAGCCAGACACGTCAGCAAGCATTCAGGTGTCGCTGAACTGCCCGGTGCCATTGGGGTGACTGTAGGGTCAAAAGGCAAGAGGCTAGAACAATTAGGGGAGCCCACTGAAGGCAGCTAGATCAGATTAGAAACACATAGCATTTTTTTAGTTGGTTTAAGTAATCAGTAGGGATTAAATTAACCCGTTCAGATACAGCAGAAGATGGCCGACGACCTGCAAACCTTATAAAAAGGCTCCATTGACATTGCACTGTATGAATACAGACCTACGCTGTAGATTTCTGCAAATATCAACAACAAAGACCATAAAGACACTTCACATACGCTCCAAAACTGTCCACTGTACAATCTCTTTACACTTTCAATCACTGCATAAATATGTGAAAGCATTTAATTAGCAAAACTAATCTAGTAGAGATTGTTAATTATAATGAAATCTGTATGAAGCCCTACCACTTGTCTATGGCGTGATGTGCAACATGTTAGAAAGTCCATTCCAGACACTAACACTTGATATTATTATTAAACCTGTGGTTTGTGGGTTATGGTTGTGGTTAGATTTAAAACTCATACAATTAACAAAGTAAATGGTCTTGATTTCTGTTTTTAACAAATTTTAGAACGGTTTCTTTTCATAATCCAGATTCAGTTTTGATCTTAACACTCAATAAAAAAAATATCTGGTGGGCAATAGTTTTTATTTATGTAGTCGCAAAGTAATTAGGAATAGGCTGCAGGTATAGCTCACCGCATATAAAAATAATAAGTCAGGATGACATAGTGCTGTATGAAGCGTAGGGGTTAATAGGAAGGATCAGTTTGCTGTGGCTCACCCTTGTGCGTCCCTCAAAGCCTTTTGATGCAAAGTAAACCTGATTTATGGCTGTTTATTTTTCTTTTTTGTCTTTTAGTTTTGGTCTTGTTTGGTTCTGGGTTTCTTTGTTTTTGCACTGGTACAGTACTTTCTATTCTTTCTCCATTTCCTTTTCAGTTTATTTTTTCTCATATCGAGCTTTGCTTCTTGCATTTTTCCGTTCTGTTTTTCTGTGGACGTTTGACTGCTTCTTGCTCAGGTGGTGGGAACATTTCTATCCTTTGACTTCTTTCTTTCTGTTTCTGCTTGCAGGAGGGGAGCTAGTTGTCCCTGTGCTAGTCGAGGACCCCATAGACATTCCTTCTGTATCCACCCGTTCACCCTTCATCCCCCTTCCCCCTACCCTCCGCCCCGTCCTCACCATTATCGACACCACCAAAGAGTCCTTGGCCATGGCCACTGAGGCGGGGGTACCTTGCTTTTCGGATCGAGGCAGCGATGATTGTGATGGTGGTGATGATGGTGATGATGATGATGATGGTGATGATGATGGCATGGTGATTTCGGGGTTTGGCTCTGGCGAAGCTTTCGACTCTAGCCTGCCCCCGACTGACGATGAAGATTTTTACACCACCTTCTCCCTGGTAACAGATAAGATCTTGACCACATCGGCTTATGAAGGCGGCTACAAAGCTCTCGTGCCCAAGTGGGAACCCAAGGACTTGAGGCCTAGCAAAGCCTCAGAGGCAGGTAGGACTACACCAACATTGCCTCTGCCTGACAATCGGGGCACACCGCCGGCGGCGGTCCCCTCGGATATACCACCCAAGCTGCCGGCGGGGAAAATGGACAACCGTGAGGTAAAACCTCCACAGCCAGACATGCCTGTCCTGCTGCCCCTACCAACATCCTTTGATGTGGATGGCACTAAGCCCAGGGGCCCTTTCATTACGTCACCCATGCTGCGCACAGTACCCGCCGCCTTGCCCACGGTGCCCGGCGTGGTGAGGCGTGTTCCACCCGGAGTGTCGGAAGTGATCCGTGAGTCCAGCAGTACTACAGGCATGGTGGTAGGCATTGTCTCAGCAGCCGCCCTTTGCATCCTCATTCTCCTCTACGCCATGTATAAGTACAGAAACAGGGACGAGGGTTCCTACCAGGTGGACGAAACGCGCAACTACATCAGCAACTCTGCGCAAACCAATGGCGCTGTAGTGAAGGATAAAATACCCAGCGGCAGCGCCAAAGGCAGCGCCAGTAGCAAGAGACCGAAAGACAAGGATAAGGAATATTATGTATAGAAATCAAATCATTTCACAACACACGAATAAACTGTTTGGAACAAAAGTAAAAAAACATTTTGACAGTACCATATTGGCAACTGTAATTTAAATAGAACGAATTTTCTTGAGAACTCTAGACTCTCCGAGTCGCTTACAGATGAACTTCAGCTCACGGAAGCACACTTACTATTGTAAGCATTAAAAAGAGACAATGCAGTACAACTTCATCGGGACAATTTGAAAAGTCCTCGCTGGAGACTTTCGGCAGTGTGAATTTTCACTCAGACACCCCACACCACCCCAAGTGACTGTGAAGAGGTGTGTAATCCTTGGAGTTCTACTGATCCTGTCCATTGTAACGCTGTAAAATACGATCACTGTCATTTTGGCCATTCTGAGCATGCATGTGAGGTGTATGTGATGTGGTGCTGGCATCTATGTAAGTGAGAGACCTTAAGAAATCATGATTGTTGGGGAAAGTTGGAAGTCAAAACACAATTTTTTTTTTCTTGCTATTCAAACGGTTCTTTAAATGTAGCCGTCATGAATGCGACATGAGATAAAGTACGCATATGTTTAAAAGCGTCTTTTTATTTCTGGTTTGTTTGTTTTTCTTTCTCCCTTTATTTATTTATTTATTAAAATGAATAGTTTTCTGTTTGTTGTCAAAGAATATCAAGGCCTATCGGGGGTTGAAAAGAGTTCAGTTGCTGCAGCAGCAGAATGAAGCTTCATGTATCTCTGTATTTTTCGCTCCTTTTGCATCCAAGTTCCAGATCTTGTTCAAGCTTGTAAGCTTTCAGAAAAGTTCATAGTTATTTCTCTAAATTGGACTCTTAGTAATAAAATCTCTGATGTGTTTTGTAGGAATGGACCGATATGAAATATGGATCGATAACCCATTGTTTTACTGCTGTTCTGGCCAATATTTACAGATATCAATATTTTATTCAATTCTACTACTGACTACTACTACCCGCACCGCATCACTACCACTGTAACATGTCCCCAAAAAACATATCATTGGTTTAATAATATTGGCCCAGTTTCACTTGGGACTTTTAAAAACAAGCCGTTGTTGATGCCCATATATCACACATTTTTAGTTTTCTTTATTTGACGTTTCAACTGACATGCTGTGTTCAGGTAAATCATGCTGTGTGTCTAAAAATAGTGTAATTGACACGTTTAAAGAAGAAAAAAATGGTTCGGTGAAAACGTACAATGTGACCAAGTTGGCTTCTTTTTTTTTCTTCAGTTCTCACTCAAAGCTGTGTCAAAACAAAAATGTTTACATAGTTTATTACAGCTCACCAGTGTGCTTGGTGACCTACTGTACAGAAGAAAAAAAATCTGGTTTCTGTGTTTTATTTATTTTTTTATCTTTAATTTTTTTAGATCCTCATCATATCCAGGCAGTTATGCATTGGATTAGCTTTTACTTTTTTCTGCTGTAGCAACATGTTTGTCCTGGAGTGAATAATGGATGTCCACAGCAACAAGTCCAGAGAGACAGGAGGTCCAGTCTCTCAGGATGGCATTTATCTTCAGTCGCATGAAACCATCTGGCACTGTCTACACTTCCCTCAGATATTCTGTGAGGGTCTTTATCTAAAATTATGTTTTCATCATGTTATTTATTTTTTTATTGGAAATCTTTAAAAAAAAATCTAAAGGTATAAGATAATAAAGACTGATCATGGTGGATTTGGAGATCTTTGCTGGCACCTTACTGATTTACAGCTCCTGTTTCTTTGCTTTTAATTTCGTTTTTACTGTGACGTTACTGTCTTGTCTGCTCAACATGTCAATTAGCCTCTTTTTTTTCATATGTATTGTTAATTTCACGTCTCATTTATATGACATTATGTTCCGGGAATTCAATGGGTTTCTTTTCTTTTTTATGTCCTTATTTATTGCAGAAATTAGTTGTTTTCATTCATTTACATGCAAATCAGTCACTCAGTGTGTTTTTTTTTCCTTTTCTCATCTTTTAGTTGTGTGTGTGTGTGTTGGTTCCTGGCTTTTTAAACCAGTTAATTATTGTCTTCTGCTCCCTTGACTTCAAACAATTCCCAGAAATAAAAAGAAAATGTTCCCAAATGTTTTGGATGTTCAGCTGTGGGTGTCTGTCACTCATTCCATCACCTCACGGTAGGAAAGCAGGAGGCAGCAGAACGAAAAAGATGGATGGCAAAGGCTTTTCACCGAGCAGTTTCTCTCCCCTTCACGATTACTTCACTGATTTCCTTTTACAGCTAAAAGTGCTATCATTTCTATTCAAATGAAGAAGGAGCAGCTCAGAACTCTCATTTACCTACAGATGATTATGTAAATTCCTATACACTTTTTAAGCAACAAGAGGAGCGTTCATTGAGGGTCCGAAGTCATCACAACATGGTAGGAATGGCTTTCAGCTTGAGCTGAGTCTTTGTGAGAGAGTGCACAGCCAAATGAGATTCTCCACCAGCATGCTGCTCAGTTATGAGCTGCTCAGCGGCAGGAGCACCTGCTTTCCCTGCTCCTTTTTTACTCCGTCCATATTTCCTGCAAATGGGCCTTCACAGATCTGGTCATTAACTTGCAATAGCCTATTGATGTAGGATATCAGTGCACCATGTGTGAGTATATCCAGCTCACACAATGACTACATATTAACTCATTCATCCTGTCACTGGCGAGGGAGCAAGGGAGCCAGGCAGAGATCCATTCAACAGCCTGACTTTTTTCCCAGTCTGAGCCATTTACAATGAGAAATTGTATTTGCTCCTCCAAATACATGAGCTTTATAATGTTTGAGTCACTGCTGTGGAGGTTAATGTGCATTAATTTAAACAAGCAGTGGCATTCGTTCCAAAACGTACTTCTACAATAATTTCAAATGTATAATCAGCTAAATCGAAATGGGAGTTTGTCACTTATGTTAAAAAAGCATTTTCCCTTCAGTATTTTAATGCCTCTTATAAGACGCTATGTTTCAGCTCTACCATTGCTCTTACTGTATCCTCAGAGTGTGATGCTTCACTTCCAGGGCTACGCCATGGATGCAGTTCTTGATCTGTTTCATTGAAACAGTTAAAAACTGTCTAGATTTTTACAGCCAGAGAAGCAGCATGGTGTCCCATCATTACGTCGCTAAAAGATAGTTTTGGGAGAGAACTATAGTGCACTAAAACAGTTTTAACTACACAAATCCAATCGTTTCTAAGTATTCCTGCAAATACTGTTTTACAATATAGAAGCTACATCTACAGTTTAAAGCAACGTGGAGCCTTTGTTCAAGGTTTTTACAGTTTTATTCAGCAGCCATGGAAATGGGAATTACATAAAGCTTACCAAGCAGGACACCTGTTTATAGATTGAGATTTAAATGCCATATGTTATTAATGGTTTTATGTGTCACAATAAACACTATAAACTTGAAATATTAACCTTTTGCTAATTTTTGTTAAATTATTATTCCATCTTTCCATTTGTTTGATTATAGACTGACAATCTAGATGATGTTCATCTAGTCCGGATGAATGATCAGTTACCTGTTTTTGTTTTTGGTCAAACTTCATAGATCTTGCCACAAATACAGAAGCGCCTGACATAATAAAATGGTTTTTGGGCCAGTCTGTGTTTCAAGCATTAACTGTTGAAATGACCCATCAATAGTTATGGATCCTGTAATCCAACAAAAGAAAAAATAGAAAGAAACTTAATTAGATCAAATCATTCAAAGAATGTCTTTTTCCAAATTGACCAGCAGAATGTATTCTGCAAGATAACAATAACAATGTTTTTTTGTTTTTTTTTTATTGTTGTGCTTTTTATTCTCTTTATTTAAGCAAATAAACAAAGACTACATTTCCCCTTCATGTACTGCTCCATGGGGTAGAAATTGCACCAGATGAAAGCTGTTTGTTTTATAGGTCTATTTCAGGAGCAAACCTGCTTTTGTGTCAACTTTTGGACTACATCACTGCACAAAATCTGTTTTGCACACAAATAGTACCAACAGATGGTTTTATGAAATCACCATTCATTGCTTAATTTGTTTTTGTCCTACATATGGCAAAAAAAGCTACACTACCCATGGCACCAACATCATTGTTTAACTAGTAACACAGTATTCTGGGTTTGAATCCCATCCTGGAGCATTGCCTTTTTATATTTTCCACATGGGTGGTCTGGCATCCTTCCAACAGTCCAAAAACATGACTGTTGGGTTTTTTGGTCTCTACAAACTGAACTTGGGTGTAAGTAAGCCCCTTGTGAGTCTGTCTATAAATGGTTATAGATAATGGATGGATAGATTAATGGTTTCTATTTTTGTCTCTATTAAAGCAGTTATTGCCTTTGGTCCAGCTAAAACTTGGCACTGAGGTAGATCCAGCTTGCCTCCTTCAGTCACTACTTTTAGCTCTGGAAATAACCGGAATAAGAGCTAACAATAGCACTGTTTTAGCACTCATTCAGTTGAAAAATAATCAATTCAATTAAGTTCAGTTTAATTATATGATGCCAATTCATAACACATTTCATCTCAAGGCACTTTACAGAGACAATTCAACCAGATCATACAGTTAAACTGATTCACAGTTTTCTATCTAAGCAAAACCAGGTGATTGCATCGACTCATCGACTTGAAAGCAATCCCTCACACTAAGAATGCTAATAGCAACAGTGGAGAGCAAAAACCCCCTTGTAACAGGAAGAAATCTCTAGCAAAACAAGGTTCTGTGTGGCCGGTAATCAGCCGAGGCCGACTGGGGTTCAAGGAGACAGAAGCATGCATGACAGATACAAAAGGTAACTGTCAACCAGCTCCACAGGTGGCCATTACCAGGAAACACACAGCCAGGCAGACGAGCTCCGAGCCAGCTCCCACGCCAGAAGATGAAAAGAGCACATACAGTGAGAAACAGGACTACACTGAAAAACAGGCCAAGCTTAACATATAACCCAAGATGTTGATAGCAGCAGCGCAACTGATATTTCATTCCAGGATGGTGTCACAGCCAAACATGAACAGACCAGATCAAGTTACCATGACAACGAGCAGAAGGAGCATAGCATTCAAATTCTGCAGAGTGGAAAAATAGAGATAGAATGAAGCAGAATGATGAAAAAGGGGTCCCTAAGTGCTCCAGCAGTCTAAGCCTATAGCAGCACAACTATAGAGATGCTCTGGATAACCTGAGCCACTACCTATAAGCTTTATCAAAAGGGAAAGTTTTAAGCCTACCCTTAAAAGTAGACAGGGTGTCTGCCTCAGGGACTAAAACTGGTAGTTGGTTCCACATTAGAGGAGTCTGAAACTAAAAGATCTGCCTCCCATTCTACTTTTGGAAATTCTAAGAACCACTGATAAACTTTCAGATTGGGAGTGAAGTAATAAAACAGCCTTTACAATCAGCACCTGGAGTTAACACTGAAAACTGTAAGGTTGATGCTGAGTTAGCAACACCTCTCTAAACAATGGCATACTTAACCTACTGCATGTTGACCATCAAATAGCCAGCAAAAGATCATTGAATAATTACGTTTATTTACCAGCAGGCTTCAATAGGTAACTGAAAAAAACATTTCCACACCTCTAAAGGGATTAGTTTTGCTCCAATTTATTCTTTTTTTTTGTTATTTATTTTCTCCTGAGTTGATTGATATTGCACATTTCATTGTTATAACGACGAAATTAATCTAATTCTATCATGTATTTTACGCTAAACATGCACCTCAAACGAAAGATGTGACCTCATGTTCTGGGACAAAAGAAATAGGCTTTTTTTAAAGGTCCTTTATTATGTTTTCTTAAGATTTCCAAAGTCAACTGTAGACGCATGTAAGATGAAATATTGCCTTTGGGGGTAATTGTTGTGCAGCAAAGTAGATATAAAACACTGTCAGACCAACATAACACCATGAATGTCTTATACATACATATATAAGAAGGAAAACTTCAAAAATCATTATTATTATTTTATATCTGCAGAAGGAAAAGATTGATTTAAATCTGTTTTTCTGACACATGTGAACAACATTCCATCAAGAAGGAAGAAACTGGAACTCATAAGCACCAGCAACTGCTTTACTTTAAGATTAGATCCAGTCTTTTACAGGTTAGTGATGTTTATAAGGTGTATTCCAGCAGTCTTTGTCCATAATTTAGTGATAATCTGAAGAAACTGTACTGAATCAGTACTCCTATATTTGACAGTTAAATTCCAAACCACCAGACAATGTTAAAAATGACAACAGACTTAATAAACTCTGTCTTTCACATTGAAACAATACACTTGTAATTGCTTGTAACTTTGATTTTTGCATCAAAACTGATTATCAGCTTTGATACCATAAAGTTCCTCCTAAAGTCCAGCTTATTTTTTTAATTTAGGAGACATTAATCCTTAAAAATGAGAACACACAGGAGTCCCTGATGCACGCTCCTGTTTTCAGGGTCACCACTGCTGATGAGGGATACAATAATTGTACCGGCAGCAACTTCAAAGGTATTGTGAAGGATTTTTGCTTATTTCTCCGCTATTAAAAAAAAAGCACATGTATAACCCTGTACCTGCTCCTGAGAGGAAACGCCTATTAAACGCATGTGAGAGCATGCACAAGCTCATTCCTTCTCGTACACTCTGTTTAAAAGTTGCTGTTTGCATCGCTTATACAAGCTTTCTTTCTTTCAAGTGAAAATGGGGACAAGCACGTAGGACAGCCTAACATTAACATATCACCACAATTATTGACAATTAGGAGAACCACTTATTTTGATGATCCACCCAAATAAATAAGATCCTTCATTATAACTTTAAGATACACTATATAGGTGTTAACTGTGACAATGCCATGCAGAGACCCAGTGGAGGAACAAACAGTGTATCGGAAAGGACTCCATGCAGCTTCACCCGTTGAGACCCAATGTTAAGTCAATCAGCTAACAAATCAGGCCAGAATCAAGGTAAAGGTACTTTATCTTTTAGCTTGGAGGTGAGGGGGGAGTTTTTGGGATATAGATTTAGGGTCATATGTTATAGACTCTAAAACAACTTCATAGGAACGGCAGTCAACAGTAAGCAACAATCCTGTACTATCTCAGCTGTGCCTTGAACCAAAGTATTAAAGCCAAGAGGCCATTCTTCACAGGAGAATTCTCTCAAAATCGCTGCAACTTGACGATACAACTTTATCTAAGATGACAGCTGCAAGGCTTTTTGAGGTATGTCTTTACAAGCTTTTTACAACGAGAAGCCAAATTCTTTTCAAAATAGCTCATGGACAGTATGAGCAGATGGATAGCATCTCTTAGTATCAATCTATGGTGATTTGCACAAACATACATAATATAATGGGTTAAGGTCCAACTGAAGCCCCAGAGGCTCAGATTTCTCTCTTTTCCTTCTTTTATGCAGAGCTAAATGTTCCCTACAAATCAAAATATTCCTAAAATGGAAAATGTTTAGAACAACTTCAAATAGTCATCATTTGATAAAGATCTTTGCTTTTTTTTATTATTATTTTGTTGTGTAAATTTCAACATCCTTTACTCAAAAGTACTCTGGTTCCGAATCTGCATTCAATTAATTTTATTAGTCTTAGTTAAATAAAAGAAACTTTTTCAATAGGAGAACAAAATCTGTTAAAATGACAAAGAAAATTAAAGCTTTTTTTAATGAGAATGAAATTATTGTTTTTTTATTATTATTTACTAATATGAAAACAATCAGATTTGTTAAGCCTACAAACATTTTTAACTTGACAATAAAAAGCCATGTGACAAACACTTTGGATGTCACTGATTTAGAAAATGTTCATCAAAGCCAAGCCTGGCTTTATCCTACTTCATTTTCTTATATTAGTTCTGATCATCAGTTTCTCTATCCCTGCTTAAAAAAAATACACACAGCCACCACCATGTCTGGCAATGATCTGTTTAATATATACGCAGTGTTTGTTGTCTATAGCCCACACAGCCTTGTAAACATGTATGTGATATTTTTATGCTGTTTTCGTTCCCCCTAAAGCAGAGGCGTAACCAGAAGATTTTTATAAGGGTGGCCAGGCAGTAACCAATGTACACTGAGGGGTGGACGAAAGTTGATACATTTGCAGCTTAAAAACAAGCAAAGCATCCACATTTTCAAAATAAAGACAAACTATACTTTCCTACAGCCGTTGCTAACACATAGACGCATCTATTTAACTATCCATGCTTTCTACATAAAAGGTATAGTCGATACAATTCTTTCAGATTAGATTTCTGTAGAGAACATCTCTTCCATTGTCATTACTTACCTACTTTTATAAATAATCACTCTGCATAAAATTGATATTTACAAATACTTACACCTAC